TGAAACATTTACTGATCACTTGCTACACTGCTAGGTGCCAACTTAAGCAACACATAATATCTGTCCTTAAATTTACTGGAGGACACAGACCCACAAACAATTACAATTTCACACTGTCTGACTTCCCTAGCCTTGCAAAGGCTTCGTCATTTAAACTTAAGTATGTCAACTTCTAAAATCTACCCAGAATTAGCATAATTTCAAATGCCGCCAAATAAAATGAGTTGAGAATATTTTTTTCATCTTTACATGAGGCAAATAGCCAAAGAAAAATATTGTTAACATGTACGACAGAAATCTTCAAAATCGTATTTCAAAATAAGTCTCCTCTTTTTGTGATTAGTCACGCTAATTGCAGGTCAGCATGGCCTGATTTCTAACTCAGATGCCCAATCAACATCACTGTTTCAAATTCCCTTCCTGCCACTGGTAACAGCATGAAGCACTGTGTCTTAAGCACACAGTGGCAACATGAACACAGTGACAAAGATGTGTGTGTAGAGGGTGTAAATATCCTGCAGTTTTGATAAATTGCATGTATTCGTCATCAATTAAAAGCAACTATATATTGCAGCAATTCCTAAATGAAGGCTTATAAATAACAGTATTTTTAATTACCCAGGAAAACTGCAATATCCATCAACATTCATGACTCTTGCTATGTAACGTGAAGGGCCTGAAACGCCCCACCATTATGCAAGAAGATTAGGGGAACTCAAGGGTAAAGATTTTTGAATCTCAGGGCTGATGATGTAGTTTAGGGAGTCCTAAGACCGGGGTTCCGACCCAAGAATCACCACCAAAAAAGAACATCTTTTTGCCTTAAAGGAGAAAAGGCTATATGCATTCACCAAACACAAATGTAGACTTTCTTGGTGACAAAGATTAGGAAGAAACATGCCAGCCAGCATCCACATGTAGGCACACATCAATCATGTGGAGAAAAAAGTTATCAAGGGAAAGGAGGAGCCCCCAGTCAAATAGGAAGGGAGGCTCCTATGAAGTAAAGGAAAATGGGCTGTCTCACTTCTTCTTCTTCTTCTTCTTTTTTTTTTTTTTTAATGTATTTGGTAAAAGGTCTTAGTAGGTCGCTCAGACTCATAGTGATCCTCCTGTTTTCAGCCTCCCCAGCACTGGGATTACACACATGCACCATCATGCCTGGTCTTGGTGGCCAGCTCAGGGCACTCAGGTGTGGGGCTGGTGACAAGTGGTGCTGGGGAGTGAGCCCTGGTCCCTGAGCTTGCCTAAACAGGCACTTAATTCGCTGAGCTGTCTTGCCGGCCCCATCTCATTCTTCTGTGCCTTGCACTGATTACATTTCTGTTTTCAGTGTTTAAAATTTGTATACTATCTATCTGCAAAAATGGCACTTGGCTACTATTGCTCATGTATGAGGCAGGTTGTCACCTAAGATTTTTGTGGAGAAAATTGGCACTTGGTATTATATATAAAGTTAGACATGAAGATAATAAACATGAGAGACTGATCATATCAGCTTAAAACAAGGAAGTACAAATAGTAATATATACCTGGAAAGAGCTACATTTTTAAAAATTAAGCTCAGAGTTTTCTCACAATTTGGACAAAATGTAAAATGTGTTGGATTATATAAATATCATGAAATAGCAAAAGGAAATAAGACCTCTGCCATCCTTAATTCAGCCATAATCCCAAATCTTTACTGTGCCAAGGCAAAAGTATATCTGCTTCTCAAAACATTTTTCTCATAACACTTATTAATATGTAAATTCTATATATTTTACTAATTTTTCTACATTCCATTAGAATATAGAGTTCGTGAGGACAGAAGGTTTTTATTTTCAGACAGATAGATAGGTAGATAAAGAGAGGGAGAAGGGAGAGAGAAGAGGTAAAGGGAGAAGGAGAAGGAGAAGGAGAAGGAGAAGGAGAAGGAGAAGGAGAAGAAATGAATGGTAGTGGGAGGGAAAAGGATAGGGAGAGATCTTTTATTCCTAATTCTGAATTGCTGGAGAAATTTATCATGTGGTTCCATACAGAAATTGCAGTAGGCTACAGAGGCTATGACAGGGCGAGGAAAAAGCAGACTAACAACCCATGACCAGCATCAAATAAAGTGTGCATGCAAATGACAGTGGCAAGGGAACAGAATTAGGTGCCTAAAGACCTGACTTCAGCTACCAGTTCACATGCTCCTGTGCCTCCTACCATGTCATGTGACAAACCTGAATTACACAGACCCCAACATCAAGAGACCTGGTGGCTGGGCTTTCAATATGCTTCTTCCGCTTACAAGGTTATGACCTTTGTGACTTTTGACAATTTACTTAAGTTTTCTGTGCCTCCCTTGAGTCATCTGTGGAATCTGGAGGAGGGTAATACTGACCTCAAAGGATGGCTGTAAAGAGTAAATGAGCATCTCTGTCTCTCCCTATCTCTTTGTTTCTCTACCTCTACCTCTACCTCTATGTCTATAACCTCTACCTCTATGTCTATATCTCTATCTCTGTCTCTGTCTCTGTCTCTATCTCTATCCCTATCCCTATCCCTAACTCTATCCCTATCCCTATCCCTAACTATCACTATTCCTAGCTCTAGCTCTATACCTCTAGCTCTACCTCCACCTCCACCTCCACCTCCACCTCCATCTCTATCTCTGTCTTCATGTCTATATCTGTGAACCGGAACATAGTCTAGCACATAAGAAAAATAAATATTGGCAGTTAATTTAGCTCATGTCCTTTATTTCCAAAGGGTGGATAATAATTATCTAAGGGGCAATTGTAAAGAACAGCTGACCTGAAAAAGAAATAATGTGATTAAGTTTAAAATGAATCACCTAATATTTTTATTTCCATGGAAATAAGAGATGTTCATTATATGGGTATTAGAAAAATGTAAAAATTCAGAAAAGTAAAAAAAAAAAAAAACTCTGTATTCCAGCAGTCTGAATCATCATTAGCATTATTTTTTTATTTTTATTTATTTTTGCGGAACTAGGGATTGAACTCAGGCCCTTACACTTGTCAGGGAAGTGCTTATTCTACTGAGCCATCTCCCCAGCCCCCTCTAGCATTTTCTCGTATAAATTTCTATATTTTTCTACATTACAAATGTATGTGCTTATTAAGATGGAATTTTCAAACCAAATTAGACATATACCATATACTGCTGTATACCATGTTTATTGTGGGTGTTATATCAGCAAATAAAGCCCTGCACATTCCTATTATAATAGCTGCCTAGTATCCCATCGTATGAAAGTGCCTTGATTTATTTAGACAATGCTCCATTCATATACAGTGAAGTTGTTTCCAATTTGTGAAAGTGCTTTGTGAATTCTGAAGTAATATACTAATGTTACTTATCATCACCATCATTTTAAAAATAAATATCAATCTAGACATTACTATTAATGTCTTGAAAGGCCTTACACTGTCTTTAACCCCGTGGAAGTCGCACTTCAGTCTTGTCGTGCACACATCACCATTTAAAAAGCATGACATTTAGGGATTCCACCTCTGAACGCAGTGAACCACATGAACTATTGAATCAGAACTAGGGGAAGGCGTGAAGGATGATTCCCCAGAGCCGTTGCTCAGTACAAAGCCTGTGCACTTTTCCCTGGTGCAGGCTTCCTCACCCCTCTCTGCACACAGACTGACATCACTCAGGGATTGCTGCCCTTTTCCCCAGAATATCCACGTGGCCTCAGACTTTTTGACAATAAACTCTGAGTGGTTATTCTGAAGCAATGGAACAGATAGCAGAGATGAAATATATTTGCTAACCCCACGTTGAGGATATAAGGCATAAAAAGAAAAAAAATCTGAGGCATATCAATACTTACCAAGTAACTCCAATGAAAAGTATTTGAGTTAGAAGTGGGCAGATTTTGTAGATTTTTTTTAATGTAGTCTGTTGTTATAGGGTCTTACTACACAGCTCAGAATCATGGTGATGCTCCTGTTTTATCAGCTTCCACAGCGCTGGGATTATAGGCCTGTGCCACCATGCCTGGACCCTGTGGCTGGCTCAGCCCACCCCGGGGCAGGTCTGGAGTGGACTGGGGCTGGCGTGCCGTGTGGTGCTAGCCTGTGGTGCCGGGGATTGAACCACAGTCCCTGTGCTTGCCTAAGCTTGCCTTAGTCTGCTGAACTACCTACCCCACCTGCCCCTTTGTAGCTATTTTGATTTATGCCAGTGCCCCGCCTATGTATTGAGATCCTTCAGGTTACAAACCATATCTTGCCTTCTCTGTACCCCTCCTGTTGCCTAACAGAATGGGACAAAGAGTAAAGGTACTCAAGAAATGTACTCTTGGGAGTGAGCCTTAGAATAAAGACTGAAACTTCCCACATCATGTATTTTATAATTTCATTGATTCAAATCTACAACTAAAAGTGCAAATATATTTGCTGAAAATAAAACCTGCCCTTTTATTTGCAAGAAGATGAAGTGGGAAAGGATATCCAAATGCATGCAAACAAGTAAATTAGAATTGCTTCTCTGTTTTTAACAATAAATTTTCTCTATTAATTAATGTTGAGACTTAAGAGCAAGTGTGCATGGCAGGAAACAGAGGGCCCTGCTGATACCAATTTTACAAAAGAAGGCAGTTTGTACATTGAGATATATTGTGATGTGCTATTCCCTGGCTCTGGTCCCAGCATGAGCCGGACAGATTCAGCTTATAAAATCCTGGCCTTTCACCTCTTCAAGGCTAGAATTACCTCCTCTGTGAGTTTCATTCATTCAGCAAATATTTACTATAGGGCCAACATGAACCAGGTACTGCAGTGAGTGAGCGCTGTGTTTGGGAGGGTCCAGAGTGAAAACAACAACTTAAGTTTAAAAGAGACCATGTGTACATATTTCTGACCTCTTAATGACGGATCATCATGACAAATCTTATTTTTCTTGTGTAGTTAGTGCAGAGTCTACAGTGTCTTACTGCGCAGGTTGCACTCGTAGTGACCAACCTGTTTTCAGCCTCACAAGCGCACCAACATGCCCGGTCAGCACACCCCATGGGGGTGGGGCCGGCACCACATGCTAGGGATCGAATCCTGGTCCCTGTTCCTGCCTAAGCTGGAGCTTTAACCCGCTAACCTGTCTGGTCAGCCCTCACAAATATTATGTATGACTATCAGGAGTAGTGCTGAATATTTTTATCTCCTAATATTAAAATAGGAATACATCCGTTTAGCCAGGTAGATCTCTTTATCCCAATATGGAGATAAGCATTTAAGTTTATCATCCTGTATTGTCCTGGTTCTTGTGACTTATCTGCGGGTCCACCTATTTTATAAATCACAGCCCAATATGACTAATATTGATCTATGCATTTGCCTGCCCTTCACAATGCAGCACTAGATTACATACCAATCTTTACCCTTCTCTGATTTTTTTAATTTGAATATTTTAATTTTCAAAAACAAAGCCATGAAGCTCCTTTAGGGCATTTCTGCCTTCTTTTAAGCCTGCACAGCACCAAGTATATTGGTAGCGACCTCAAAACACTCACCAAATAAATTTTGTAGCCTGAAATGGGAAAGGATCAGTCTCAGAGCCCTAATAACCTGTCTTTACAGGTTCCCACTTTGGATAAAATCATGCAAATAAATATGTCATGCCTCAGTTTCTCCATTCCTAAAATAGAGAAGTGGTTCTTCATCTCTAAGGTCTCAAATCAAACTACCATTGAATGATTCTCCACATCTTAGAGGCTATTGTGCTTCAGGGAGGACTTGTGCAGTTTGCAATATCTCTTTTAATCTAATAGAATGAAGGATTTTTTTTCCCCTTTAAAAAAGAAGTGAATTGTAAATCCCCTTGAGAGGCAGTTCAGCTTTTACTTACTCTCTATTCTAACTTCCCAATAAATGAATAGTGATTCTCTCCTCTTGCTTCGGCCCTTTCAAAAAGTCCACCTTCTTAGTAATAGAAAACAGGATTTGAGTGATGGTCCTTATACTAATTGGTCGGGAGCCCTAGATAAAATATTGTTATTGATGGAATGCGCTCCCTTTTTTCTGCCCTGATAAAGTAGCTTAGGAGAGCACACAGAGAACAAATGGAGGACAAAGAAAAAGAACCTGAAACCTGGATCAGATCGGAAGAATCTCATCAGCGCGGTAAGGTTCTTGCTAATAAAAGACCCTGCTAAGAGGATACAAGAGAAGCCCGAGTGAGTATTCCAGAAGACAATGGGAACAGGGACACGGGCATTGTCAGCGGCCGATGAGAGGCTAAGAAAAGAGCAGAGATTCAAAAGGTTTGGCGCGCTCTATTTGACCCGTAAGGCCCACACAGGATCAAATGTAAATGAAATCGCTTTCCACACTATAATTCTTAACTCAGCAAGAACAGTGGTATGCATAAAGAAACCCTATCACAATCTGTCAAAAACAATCTATTGATTTGAAAAGATAAAACATACAATGCTCAAAGGAGCATCGTAAATACAGCGGTATAGGTTAAGATCAAGCGCAGAGAAGCTTCCCCTCTCCGAACCGTGTTCTGCATGGCAGGCGATGGACTAGCTCAGGGAGGGACCAGGCCTTTTCCTGAAGAGCTGCGCTGGCTGCTGAGTTGATCTAAGTCCTTTTGAAAAGACAGAAATGGAACCTTGCTCAACATCTATATTGGTGTTCAGGGAGGTAGCTTGTTTATATCTTGTTTAAGACCTTGGTTTGCCTTTCTCTCCCATTAAACTATTACCCCCCAGCAAGCAGGACATGGCCAGCGGCTCCCAAAGCACTTAGGAAAATGCAGCCCAAGAGGGACCAGCAACACCCCCTGTCCCTGAGTGATCTGACTTGGGCACAGTCCCTGGACATTCCCATTAGATTTCTCTGAAGCCCTAATCTTCTCTATGAAGAATACCCACCCGTCTTTTTCCCATCTCCCTAATCTCATCTGTGCCCCCATTCTCAGAAAACATAAAACGGGGCACGTTTTGGCTAAGGTCCCGCGTCCCACAGTGCTGTGTCCCCAGCTTCAGCCTTCGTGGTGCCCGCCTCACTGCTGGAACAACTGCTCCTGTTAGGAAGAGACAGAGAGGTTCCACCCATTCTTCAAGCCAGTTCCAGCCAGCACTGGGAACCTGTCCCAAGCAGAAGGACCTCCCTGCTGACAGACCAGCTGCAGAGCTTAGCTGAGCTGGCCCCTCGGTAAACAATCAGGAGCCACTAAGGCGAACTCAGAAGATCAGGGAAGCCTCTATAAAAAGTACAATTGAGTCCTCCCACCGCCCACCCGCCCCTCCCACTTCCTTTCTCAAAGGGAAAGGAGTGGGCCACAGTGCTTTGGGCTCAGGGAAGAGAAGACCAATTCCTTTCTCTCACACTCGCCCCTTTCTTCTGAGGAATGAGGCTGACTTTGATTCTTCAGATTACATCCACAATTAAACTCTTCAAGACTTTGTACCCTGGGAAAATAGTAAACAACCCAACTCTTGTCCTTAGATAACCAAGTGTAAGTGGGGCAGTGCAGGGGTGGTGGTGGTCATGGTGGTGGTGGTGGTGGTGATGTGTGTGTGTGTGTGTGTGTGTGTGTGTGTGTGTGTGTGTGTGTGTAAGAAATTGAATTGAATGGGAAGAGATTCTTCAGCTCCGCAGAAAGTCTCCACAAAAGAGAAAACCATGTGGCTGAAACACCTTGTTATTTAAATCTGTTTCTTCCAGCATCGGCTCTAGTTCTTAGTCAGAGCCAGGAGTGGGATTGGATTTGGCTGCCCTTATGGGAAAAATGCACTATGCAGCCTACACCAGGGTGTCAGGCAGCTCCTCTTGCAAAGCCCCCAGGCACACCGAACACCATTTTGTTTGACATTTCACTGGCAACAACAAGGGAACTGTCTGCAAATGTTCAGAGTTCCTCAAGCACAGGCAGGTAGAAGGGGAGGGGTTAACAAGATGAGCACACTTCGCAGGGGCTCCTCTGGAGTGTGTGGGAAAAGGCACAGGGGTGGCTCCTAAAAGCAAGGGTGGTTTACTGGTGCATATTAAGTGATTTAGTTTGTAAGAGAGGAAGAATTATTCATAGTAAGCTCATAAAAGGAAAAGGCAATCCTACAAAAAATAGTTCTATGATTTAAAGCAAGATATAGCATTCACCTAAGTAGAATGCCTAGACAGGACCCCAAATTAGTGTGGTGCTCAAAATGTTAGGGAGCATAGAAACAGGGGATAATATAATTCACTCATTCCACAAATTTTATTGAATATGTGCTATGTTCCTAAGTGTTCTTCCCATGCCAGGAGCTGGGCAGAGCAGAGAAAGATGCCCTGGAAATCAGAAATGGATTTTGACCTTACGGAAGTTGTAGGCTGATAGGGGACATGGTGTATAAACAGGATTGATCTCTCAGTGCACAGCAGAAATGGTAGGTATGTTAGGATCAGGCCTCTTATAGACTAGGTGTTTGGCACTCTAAAAGAAATTGATTCCAGTGCAGAAAAGTGTATTACTTTGCTTCGGCATCCACCAGAGGACGGGGAGCCCTCGACATCCCGTTGCATCAAGAAGGGAACATCTCTTAGACAACTTCACTTCCTCACCAAAATATGCAGGTACACATCCAGGTATGGCCTGAATTTCTATAACAATTGAAGGATTTTTCCTACTTTCTTTCCCCAAGTAATAGCAGAGGATTGGATATGTTCCCACAACAGCTAAGCTGCTTTGGGAATGAATATTTTTTTAAACTGTCTCAAGTTTTAAGACATTGGTTTTATGAGTTCAGTTAGTTTGCTTTCCTTTGTCTTTCATGATGTTGAAAAGTAACTGTTGACCAGGATCATCCTCACTAAATCTCTGACTCTGGGTTTGAGGAGAGGATGTCTGCCAGCATTTTAGCTTTTTGAGTGTTTGGTTGACTCTTGACAGATACAATGGAATACTTCAATGAAATCCGCCCAACTCATTTTCCGTCTATGAATGAGCACAAGGCATCCTGTGGCTAAGGAGGGACAAATATTCCACCCCCCTGGGGGCCTGCTGGCTGGCCCCTGCTGCACCATTATTGTCCCCATTCTGGCCTCCACACGCAATTTACTAAAGTTTGTGCTGTTTCGTGGCAGGGTGATTTATCACTGGCACCTCTTTTCTACTTCTACTGGGGGCCACTGCAGTAGGGCAAGGTTCAGGGAGGTTGGCCGAAACCGAAGCAGACATTTTATCAGCTAACTATTGCATTTTCTGGTTCTTGACTTTTCCCCAGGAGCTTTTGTTTTTCATTTTGTTGGCTGCCTTTAACTCCTCTGGTGCTGCTCAAGCCCAGTTTATTTTTTTCTGAAAATAATAGTGCCTCCAGTACACTGAGGTTTTTGTTTGCTTGCTTGACTGCTTTTTGCTTTTTGTTGTTGTTGTTGTTTGTTTGTTTTGCAAAACTGCACCAAAGATCCTTATGACTCTCCCCTGGTTTCCTGAATTAAAAACTATGTCTGAAGGCACTGGGTAGGCAGTACACTGAGATATAGAATTATGTCAAGAGTTTAAATTCATACAAGTCAGCAGAGGCAACAAAGAATCCTCGCCATCCACCTGATGCACTGACTTGGAATCAAATCAACAATTTGATTCCACTATCTGTCTGTCCATTCATCACTTCCTCAGTTGCTCAGCTGCTCCTTCATTCGTTCTCTTACTCATAGATTCACCAAATGAGCGTCTCATGAGAGACACAGTACGAGGACTGGATGCTGGTGATTACAGCCAAAAGCAAGACCCATGGGCGCTCCTCTCAAGGAATTCATTGTTCTATAGGGAAACTCCTTACTTCACAAATAGCTTTGATATCCTCCCAAAAACATTTTTAAAAATGACTACTAGGAAAGAGGAATCAAAATATAACCCATGTAGGTACAAATGCCCTGTGATGAATATCTATGTATACCTGAAATGTACCAATCAACTAAAAAAAGGGGCAGAGAGGAAATCATCAAAGAGATACTAGAATAAAATGGAAGAAAAAAGAAAAGAATAAGAAGGAAAGAACGTATGTACCTTGATCAATGCATATCTATAAATAGATTACAAAAATGCTCCAGTTGTACTGAAGCAAAATTTTAACTTTACCTTCTAAGATGGCAAAGGAAGATAGCTATCACATTCTGTCCTTTAAGATAAAATATTTCCTAAAATGTTTACATTCAGAGCAATTTTCCAGCCTCCTTTCTGAAAATAATAGTGCCTCTACTCCTTCCTTCAAGATTTGCTTCATGTTGTCATCCTCCCTGCTCTGGTCACATCTCTTTTGTTTACTCCTAACAGATCACATGGTAGCATGCAAAAGGAAGTCATATACTTTCTTTCCAAGGCTGGCGATCCTCCCATTCTTTACTAAGAGGATATACCCTTCTGCATCCAGGAAACCTGGGCGATTCCACTGCAATGCTGGCTCAGTCCTGGCCCCTCCTGGGCACAGTTAGAAACGATGTCAGAGCATGTTGGATCACTTAGTGCTTCTATAAGGAAGAGAATCAGTCATAGGAGGTGGGTTACATCATCACGTTCATTTTACAATGCTACAAAGTACATTGGACCCCAAGCAGGGCTGTCTTGAGCTACTTATCATCCCTCTCTGTGTTGACCAATGCTTTGCTCTACCCTTCTTACAAGATGCCCTAAGCCTTTTCCAGAGACTGCCAGGCACTTGCAGAAAGAATTCCTCAATTAATGTCTATAGTAGCTGTCCAAGTCAAAAAGTGAAAACCCTTTTATTTTAAATCTCTCCTTGCGAACACTCCAGGTCAGAAGGCTGTGGGACGGTTTCTGCTTTGTATACCCAAACCTCCGTGCAGCACCAAACCCTGGAGGGACCATTCTTTACTAAGAGAAGATGCCTTTGGCTCGTTCATCTAATCATTAATTGAATCCCCCCCTATTTACCTCCCTGAATCACACAAAGGATGGGGCTGCTGGCCACAGTCCACCCAGATTTCACTTAAGAGTGTCCTTCTCAGGCCCCCTCAGTACACCATGCAGGAGGGCAGCCTTTCCCCCTCTCCTGCATGTTATAGGACCATTATGGATTCCTGGTGCATAGGAGCAGGATGCATCAATTTCAAGTCAAATACATTGTCTTTAGATAAGTGGGAAAGCCTTGAACAATGGAAGAATTTCAAAGACTAAGCTTCAAGTGTCCTCAGAAGAACTGGATAAGCCCGATTTTCTCCTAAACTGCAGACCTGGAGAGCTAAATATGGCCTGAAACCATTTTGTTTTTAATTAATGTTTGAAAAAATCCTCTCAATATGAGTGATCTTTCCTTGACCCTTTGTCAACTGGAGGAAACACTTATTTTGGTCACCGAAAGAGCCATTTTTTTTACCAATGAACTGTCATTATCAATCAATCTAGGGTTCCCTGCACTAAATACAAAAATGAATGAGAGAATAAATCTGTAAGAGACTAAATTGTCTGCATGCCAATCCCCGCAGGCCATGTGTTTATAAGTCAATAGCTTAAAATGAAAACATCTGATGAAGGTAATACACCTGTTAAAGGAGCATAAAATTCCAAACCCAATGGTAAAATATAAAGATTATAAGGCCTCTTAAAGGAGCCATCAAAGCAAACTATTAAATGAATACATCTGCTCTGTGCTAGACTCCAGTTTATAAGTGCCACTCAAAATAAAAGAGATTTAGGACAAACATTCCGTAAAAGGATGTGAAAAGCAGCAAAGGAACATATTTGAAGGATGATGAGAGAAAATGGAATGGATTCAGTTAAAAAGAAGAATTGACCTAAACTCAATCCAGGACTCAAATGAAAGGTTTTATGAGTCGAGCTTTCATTGGAGGGGTGAGGTGTGGGGAGACACAATAGGATCACTTTTCATGCTCCACTTTATACTTTGGATTTAGTCTACAGGCAAAAAGGGAACAAAAATCAGTATAGTGCTAGATAGGTACCTTAAGTAAAACCTAATAGTAAAAAAGAAAGAAGCAAGGAAAGAAAAATTCTTAGAAAAAAATCTTTAAGAAATTTTTAAGAAATCTTTAATCTAGGCAGTTTGCACAAAGGTGCAAACCCTAAAGTCACCGAAGAAGTGTGATGCTATGACTGTGGCATTAATTTCACATGGCTGTTTTTCTGCAAGTCCCTCCTAAAGTTGATTTTTGTCTTGCTTTATTAGCCCGATTTTCCAGCCTCTTTAGATTCTGCTTTCTAGAGTCCTCTCCCTTAGACATTGGCATCTGTGATGGTTTGTGTCTAGATGTGCCCCAGAGCCTCCTGCAGTCATGGGCCCAGCTTCTAGACCTCTGATTGATTTTCAGTCTAAGGCAGGGGTGATGGCTGTGAATGCTGATGGGATTCTGGGTGCGAGTGCTACCCCTCTCCCCGGGGCTGGTCGCCTGCGTGGAACATGTGGAAAAGAGGAAAGAGGTCTGTGCGTGGCTCCTTTTCTGTTCTCACTGCTTTTGCTGTTTTCCATCCCCATGAACTGCTTCCCTTTGGCATGTGCCACTCTGTCTTGGATCCAGCTGACTCTGAAGTTCCACAAACTGTGAGCTAAATAAACCCTCCCTTCCTTAATTTTGGGCATTAGATATTTTGTCTCAGCAACAAGAGAAAAGTAACAAAGAGTTTCTGTGTGATTCTGGACTCTGCCTACTGTTAGCTCTTCCTGTTCTTCTTGGCATCTCATTGTCCCTCTAAGTTTGAACAGCCATCATTTCAGTGATTGCTCCGGCACTTACAATTCCAGCCCAGATAATTTCCTTGCACCTTCCCAGCCTGCTTGCTGCTGACCACTAATACCTTATAGGTCCAGGGAAACTAAAAATGTACCTTAATTGACCTCACTGTCCATCCCAAACTCTCTTGCCTCTGTGCTCTGGATCAGTTGGAAAGGAGCAAAACAATCCACTCAGAGGAAATATGAAGGCTTCCTCTTTAATGGTTCATCATTTTTAATTCACTCCCTTCCTTATAAATACCTAAGTTCAAGCCCTGATCCTCTCACCCAGGGATTTCTCGAAAACACAACTGGGGCCAAACTTCACTACTTCCTTGCCTGTGTGCCCCTTCCTTTCCTCTGTGCTGACCTACAGGGGGTTCCTGACCAAGGCAGGGAGGCCCTCTCCAAGTTGGCCCTGGCCACACCTCCAGCCTGACCTTAAATCTCTTCCTGCTTCCAACTTTCACAAGTGTCCCACTCCCACTGTCATATCTAGGTCACATGCTTCCTGATATCCTTTCCTGGGACCTTTTTCTTGGTCTAGGGTTCTTCTTTCATTAAGAATCAGCTCAGAGAGCTGTAGAGATAATTTGGCAGTATAAGGGCCTGCCTGACAAGTGCAAGGTCGAGGATTCAATCCCTGATACCACATGCCGGGCCACCCAGAACTCCAAGCACACCATGCTGACCACCAAAACCGGGCATTGTAGCACATACCTATAATACCAGCACTGGGGAGTCTGAGACAGGAGGATCACTATGAGTCTGAGCTGTGTAGTGAGACCCTGTACCAAATAAATAAGAATCAGCCAAGATATCCATTCTTCTAGGATGTCTCACTGACCCCTGGAGACCTGCTCAAAACTCCTCTAGTTTCTGATGCTCGTTTCTACTGCTGAACCCAACCTATTACACTCATTAGTTTATGCTTCTGTTAAACCTCTGGACAATAAACTCACTGAAAAGAAAAGCTCTGAGCTATTCAGCTCCACACATTCCATACACATAACAATAAATATGTATTTACTACATTAACTCTCTCAAAACAAAACACCTACATGCACACATCTTACACCTGGGTGTTTCAAAGAGCTACACTATCATACCAGCAGCTTCATGTATTTGATTCCCACCTCAAGAAAAGATACATGGTTCCTTTATGTTATTTCTTATCTGAAATCTATGACGTTTCACATTTTCTGACACCAATCTTCTGTGACTTGAGCATGGGCTCACCCCAATTTTTTACTAATAGAATAATGAATAAGTAATTTTTCCTAAACACCTATCATGTTGAGACACTGCTCTCAGTGTTTTACATGTCTGAATTAATTTATCCTTGCATTAGCCCTTAGCATCCTGGGGAGACAATAACCCATCTAATGCCACACAAATCAAAAGGGATACAATTTTGATCCTAGCCAGAGTCTTCACTTGCATTGCACTGCCCCAGCTGAAATTTGGCTCACAGGACTGACACTGGGCTATAACTAAAAAACACTCACAGGGCCAGACATGGTTGGGCACACCTGTGATTCCAGCATCCAGGAGGGTGAGGCAGGAGGGATGTGAGCCCCTCTTGGAGGGTGTGGTGATTTAGCAAAACCTTGTCTCCAAATTAAGAAAGCAGAAACAGCAAACGGTTTAGCTCAGCATGAAAAGACTTGCTGGGCTCAATCTCTACTAGAAAACAATCATAGATTTAATATTCAGTATGAAAACGGGCACAAATTCATTGCAATGTGCCCTAGAGACTCTATTATGACAGAAATTAAGCCTTTGGTAGCCGGACACTGAGCAGCCAAGGAACTCCAGAAGCAAAGGCACAGCCCCAAGGTACATGCTCTGAGAAGGTCTGTGCAGGCGTCTCTTCCCTAACTAATATTTCAATCTTTGGACCAACTTGACCTTAACAGTGCATCTCAGTTGGACATCAATTCTGATCTGACCAATCAGAATTCATGCATCGTTCAAAAGCATCTGCTCTGTTTTCAGAGTCTGGGTTTTTCTTCCTCTAAGGGTCATTGTTCTTGTACACAGCTCCCACAGAGTAGAATTTCATTAGAAATAGAATTCCACAATTTCTGGTGGAAGAATGGAGGTAGCAAAATTATTCTGGGTTTCTGGTCTCTTTTTCTACCGTCTTCTCAGGCCCTGGAAAAGCACTTGGCACAAGAGAAGCACTCAACAAGTATTGTTAAATAAAGAATAAGGAGCAGACCAAAATGATTAAAGGTTAGGTCAACCGAGGAAGTACACAGAGCACCAATCTGTAAAAGGCACTAAAGCATTGCTGTAAAATGACATATCATGCTACCTGTGCTAGAGAGAAAACCAAGAGGAGTAATTTGAGAAGAAAAGATGCAATTCTCAAGCATGTGTTCCCATTAAAATGTGATCTAAGGGTGAGCCAAAGAATGTGCAGCCTGAGCACACACACTGAATGATCAAGTTAACCACACATCACTGTAAGGTTGAGCAGAATATGCAAGTTTGGGACCAGAGCTGAACTGTGGGGCTCACTGAGGCTGGTGCTGCCTCCTGAGTTCCTCCAGTTAGGGATGGAAGTGGTCCTGGTCCTCCCACAGCAGCAACTCGCGAACCCCTGATGTTGTTGACAGATATGGTAGCAGGCTCTTTACTGTAAGGAAGAAGCATACAACTCACAGTAGAGAGAAGAAGAAAGATTGGCAATTTCTACCTTGTATAGGAAAAGGCTAAAGTGGCCCCAAGGTGGAAATCATCCTGGAAATGTCAACATTTCAAGTTTGTACTCAAATTTTGCTGCCTTCTGTTGTAGACCATTTGCCTACAGATAATAACAATAACAGGAATGATAACTCAGATAATGCCTGGCACCTTTTATGAGGCACTCATTTGCCCTAGGCTAAGCCTTTATAAGGCTGTTCTCATTAAATCTTTTTAACAATCCTATGAAGGTGGCATTATTATTATTCCATTTTATTGCAGAGTAATAAGAAGAACCTAAACTCAAAGAGCCCCTCGAAGCATGGCTGTTGTCCAGTACCTGCTGCAGGTCTGCCCATACCATTGTCTTTCATACCTGGGTACCACGCTGAACATGTCTGTATTTTAGTAGCCTAGGCATCTGTCAATGATAACATCTGAATTTTCACCCATTCTGTTTTATTTACTTGCATGTCTCCAAATCAAATTTGAAATTCCTTTTCAGTCAAACATAAAGACCATTTATATTGCTGCACATGACTTCAAGCAGACAAAATCCCTCTCTGCCGTGTGAGCTACTCTGAATCTGACTTTTGGTGTCACAGCCTTGTGCAGCTGCCTACCATTGTGCCATTCCATGTACTCTCAGGGCAGCATATAAATAATAAATAACAGCATTTCTTGTGCTTGCTTTGCACCATGCAAGATGCCAATCATCTCATGGGGAGTAACGCCCTCTCCCCGTTGACATTTAGGTACAGCACTGAAGGACTATTTCTCCAGCTAGGACTTCAGTGCAGCTCTCTAATATCTTAAAGATCAACCTTAACGACAACAACAACAAAGGCACCGAATTTTCTTAGTACAAGGTGTAAAAAAATAAAGGTTTTGAAATATGAACAACCCTCACCATTGATTTTGTTTAAGCTAAAAGAGCATATACCATTCAAGCTAGAGAGACAAACCTAATTCGTGGCTCACAGTCCCTCCAAATGGGAGCTAGCAGGAATGCACAGGATTTTGTGTGCCTTTTCCTGGTCTCCCTGCTCAGACTCTCAAGGGACAAAGTCCCATGGGAAAGTGATTCTGGAAAGAATGGGTTAATATTAGCCACGCAAGGCACTCAGTGAAGCCTTAAATAATCATCACATGACCCTTATAATCTGTCCCCTGCTGTCAGCACTGACTTAGTCATAATAATATCAGATAAGAGCTGTTCAAAGTGACACACTAACCAACATGAGAGCCACATGACTCCCTGGCTTGGCTACTGCCCTTCAGCTGAACTTTGGCTTAGAACGAAGGGCTCCCAGAGGCGCCCGGCACATGCCGCCGCGTGGAGTGTCCTGTGGCATTTTCCGTTGCTAGGGCCTCTGTTGCTCCACAGTCACAGTGAGGGGCAGCTGGGGCTCAGTTACAGGGTGTCGCCTGCCCGCCCCACCTCTGGGACTAGGGAAAGGGAACTGGCAGCGGTGGAGGTCGCTGCCTCTCGTGGCTTGTGCTGGGACTCTCTGTCCCTTCCACAGTTGATTAGCTTTGCAAATGTGCGTGTCACACGTTATGCCAAGTACTGCGGGAGGGAAACTCGGACCCCCAAAGGGAGTCTCTGCTAGAAGAAGGCCAGCAGGAATGTGACTCTTGGCAAAGAGGCAAAAGCAAGGACAGGAAAAGAGGGAGGGAATAAGGGGAGAAAGTGGTCACCTCTGGGCGGAAGGTTGTTCCAGCCTGGCTCGGTCCTATTTGGGCATTTCTGTATTCTCTTGTGCATACTTTCTTTCGTAACTTTCGACGTGTTTTAGGTTTTTAATTTGAAAAGTAAAGTCACATTTTATTTTGAGAAGGAAAATAAAGGAAGCAAAGAATAGTGGAAAAGAGGAAGAAAGGAAGGTGACCCATTCACTTACTGATTCATTCACAAGGCAGAGAGCAGAAAGGAAGCGAGAAGGGAGGTCATCTGACATTGGATTTGAGAACATTTATTGGCCGCGTGCCTCTGGCATGCTTACCTAACATCTCTCTCTAAGCTTTATTGTCCTCAGCAATAGAATGGAAAAATAATGCCTAATTTACAAGACTGCATGGGAATAAAAAAAAGTGATATGTGCTAAGTGGCTAATAAGTGGTAGGTGCTCTATAAATAATAGCTCCTGGGAAACCAACAAAGTTCTGATGATCTCTGCAGTTAGAGATATCTTAGTCCAGAGTCTGGCCCCACTGCTCTTTAGCCTATGACCTCAGAAAAGCTACCTTGCTGTTTTGGGCCACGGTGTCTTATGCACAAAATGAGAAAAATATTATGCAGCTGTTAGGGTTGTTAAAGGGAATTACTGAGACAATGGTTTACACTCAGCCCGAAGTCAGACACATTGTAGGACAGAGGAAATAGCAATTGTGGTCCCACCAGGTTGATGGTAGTGGAAGTACTCAAGTAGAAAGAAGGCAAAGCAACTCATTTACTAAATAAACGAAATGAGCAAGCTGCACAAGTGAAAACAATAATTATACAAAGTTATAGGGAACAGATAAAATCCAAAGATACCAGTCAATAAAGACTAAAGGATTCGCAGAAGGATCTCAATGCATGAGATGAGCGAGAAGAACAGACAGTGTCCGGACTCAGACTCAGCCTACCTCACATAGTTGGGAACGATCTAGGTCATCCTTCTCCTGACTGCCAGGAGGCAATGCCACTCTCCCCTGCAAGGACTGAAGCTCAGAGACACGTAGCAAGTTTTCTAGGCTCACATAGCTAATCAGCTGAAGCTTGGGTGCTTAGTTTGATCTTTGAGAAAACACAGATAAATAAGGAAAAGCTTAACAAAAATTACATGTAAGTGGAAAATTAATGGCAATGAAAGAAGAAACCAACAAACGGCAGCAGACAAAAGATTCCAATTTATGATGGAGGTAACAGAAACAAACTGGTTTTGAAGTTTGACCAAATAATGTTCAAGCCCCAAGAAATCAAAATTACATTCATAGAAAGACATGTTATTGAAACTCAATTAAGGAACCTAGAATTCTAATGGGCAGGACTACAGGTACTCTTGCTAGTGTACTTAAGGCCATTCAGGACACAGAGTGGTCTAAGATTTCCCTGACAAGGGCCATGGCATCTTAACTGGAAGAGGGGAAGGTCATTGAGGCGCAGGGTCTGCGAGTTGAAGAAGTGCTGGTGTAAGCTGCTGGCATTAGACAGGTATTTCAAGCAGAAAGACATGCCTCCTGACCAGGTGGGGACTCTTCCTGCTAAGTAGTGCCTCTACTGGGATAAAAATGAGGATATACCAAAGAGAAAGCAACACTAAGCAGGATGGAATTGGAATCACTGCCGGGAGTTTCTTCCCAGTTATTTTGGTGCCAAAATATCTGAAAGCAGTGTGCCATTTTTTTTTTCAAAGTGGGGGGCAGTCTCTTTCCAGAATGGAGGCAGAGCGCAGCAGCAGAAAGCAAAAGAAGAAGTTGGCCTCTTTCTTTTGCTGCTCCAGGGCCCTGTGGACTCGAGCCCGTCCCTGAAGTCTCCCACCACCATCCATTTTTCCTCCTGTGTGAAAAGAAATTCCTTTGTTTGTTTGAGAATTAGATAAGATATATTTTGGTATGTTTGTCTGGTATGTATTATTACCACTATTTTCATTCATTTCCAGGAGTGCATTTTTTGCAACTTCCTCTTCCTGTCTATACCTTGCTTGGATCGTTGGCCATCGTCTCCTCACTTCATGCTTGCTAAGAGGTTTTGGGGCTGAAGACAAAGTAACTGAGGTGAGAATAGCTGACAGAAGAAGACAGAAGATGCAAGAATAAGAAGAACCATAGATGAATATCAAGGAGACTAGCTTACTGCCCTGGCATATTCTTAAGTGCTAAAAACATAATTTATTTCAAGCCATATTTTGGCTGGAACCTGAAGTTTACTAGGGCTAGATGTGCTTGTACCATGTGTATAAAATATCCTTACCCACTTAGTAATAATTGTTATGGCTTACATTCTATAGAAAATGTAAGCTTTCTCTAGTTTACAATGTAGTTTTACATCATCGCTTAATCATTCATGTACCGCGTGATGCATGGCGGGAGGCAGCACAAGTCTTTCTTTAGTTATGTAACACTGAGGCCCACAGGCAGAACTGCCATCAAGGAAAGATGCACTGTGTCCTGTGTGGCTGAACAAACAGAATGACTATCAGTGTCCTTTGCCGTGCAGAGCTGTCTGTGAGGGACAGGTGATCAAATTGATGTAAGGGATAAGGAGACTCCAGAACAGAGAAGTTCGAAGGTACCATTTGAGGTTCAAAGTTATTGAAATCTTCCCTTTCAAATGGGGCAGTCACCACTAAGGAGGTGCCCATAAACACCCACAGAAATATGACAAACCCCATTGGGGTGAGTGGGGGAAGGATGGATTTGGGAACCCAGTGCCTGCTATACTGTCCTGCTAAATGCCCTCGAGAAGCATGGACTTAGTATGGGGTGAGCAGAAGAATGGTGGCATGGCAAATAAATAAGAGGACATCTACAGCAGAAAAGGCCCCTACACAGCTATAGACCAGCTTTGACTGTGCTCAGTGGGGTCGGAATCAACGGTGACATTGTACAGTAATAACTGAGGTAGCAGGACCTGTCAACAGCATTGTATGTTTCTTTCATTCAGCTTTGCACTTAAAAAAAATATACCAAGCCTTTTGCGCCAGATCAACCCTTAGTTGTCTAGAACAACTGAGACTGATCCATGAGATGGTAGAGAGATTTCATTTGACCTCCTGCTAACAGTGTCGCCTGAGCCTCTCTGTGGACGAATTCAAATATGAAGAGACATAGCTCAATGCATAGCCCATGCTGGGGAAGCCAACCACACTGCTTGCATTTGAAACAAACACTGATTGGCAAACCACTGTGGGCCAGACACTACAACCCAGGCCAAACAATTATTATAAACCTCCATTTATAAATGAAGAAACAGTGGCACATCCAGGTTAAACGGATTGTCTGAGCGCGCAGATCTTGGAAATGGATGAGTGGAATCCTTCTCCAGTGGAGGAGATTCTAGGTCAAGAAACAGCTGCTGCTGCATTTTCTCCTTGGACTAAGGTACAGTGTGACAGCAGACCTGGAGAAATCGCCTCTGCATGTGAGCTGCATCACCTCACAAAGGCTCCCTGTCTTTTCCACTCCCCTACATGTACTTGGGCAGAAACCAAGCTCCAGGCACAGCTCACATGCTTGTGGTCTGGCTCCCAGCTGGGGATCACATTCTCTGCTCCACAGGCAAAGCCAAGGATCCTTCTTGCAAAATACTACTGGTGTCCTGGCGCTACCTCCTGAAAGAATGGCCTACAAGGCCCACGTGCCTGGATCACACTCTGGCAACCAGGATATCCAATGGGAAGAGATGACGTCTGCTCTTTCCCCTGTTAAGTTTTGTAAGAGTCATCATCCTGATCATTGATAAATGCAACACACATTCAGGAAAGCACCCCTGGTATTAATCGGTGAGTTAGAAAGATAATATATGATAAAATCTAATATACTACTTTGGGTGAATTTGTTTCTGCTTATACATTTGGCAGAAGAATAGCAAATTGTCATGTATTTCCGGCTCACAGGTACTTGTGGTACTTGTCCTACCTTCACCATCATGACAATATTAGTAGATTTCAATTTGTGCATTAGGATCCCCATAACATAAATCTGAAGGATGCTGTTTGTGTAGACTACAGTGTGAATATTACCCCTCCGGAAGAAGCAGTGCAGCTTTTCCTGTGGAATACGTTCTTTACTCCTGGCATCAAAATGATTTACATGCAGTATCTCATTTCATTATAATGGCAAACCCTGTGGGAGGCATTACTGTCTCTGTTTTACAGATGAGAACACCAATGGACACTGAGAATGTAAATGGTTTGCCTATCATCACACAAATAGTAAATTGCAAGCTCAGGACTGACACTCAGCTACCTGAGTTCAAAGCTCACGTCCTTGTCTATTCATTATGGTAGCTGAGGGTCTCATGAAACACTTAGGCATGTACCTTCAAATCAATTGCAAAGCACGTTAGTATCTGAATATGCACCAGATATATACATAGTCTTTTAGTTCTTTTTTTTTTTTTTTCTTTTTGGAAAAAGATAATTCAAATGCCTTACATACTCTGCTGTTTTTAACCTGGAAGACTATTTAGAAGTGCATCTGTTAAACTTACAGAATATTAAGTATTGACTTTACTGAAATATTAATTCATTCTCACATGCAGAAAAAGTATAATTTGTTTTGCTTGATTTTAAGTAAGCAAATATCATCACAAAGCTTTTAGATACAACTGATCCACCAAAATAATTCCAAGAAATAATTATAGTGCTATCTTGTACTAAAATATACTATGTACTTAGTATCTTTTTTTGTTTTTTTTTTTGTTTGTTTGTATTTTAGGAAAGGGTCTACTGGGTATTCTGGGTCTCACTACTAGAGTGGACTCATAATGATCCATCTGTTTACAGCTTCTCAAGGACTGGGATTATAGGCACGTGCCACCACGCCCAGTCTCAATTGTCGGCTCAGAGCGCCCTGGGGTTGGGGCCAGCATGGCAAGCCCAGGGATTGAACCCCTAGCCCCTCTCCCTGCTTGCAGTCACTTTAATCCACTGAGCTATTTGGCCAGCCCTTGTACTAATACTATTTAAAACTATTTTGATATTTTAGTATGCCTAATCCTCCCCCACACACACACTCCTTTGTCAATAATGGATATGTCTTAAGACCCCCAGGGGATGTCTGAAATTGCAGGATACCTAAGCGGGCATGTAGTGTGCTTGACAAACAGATGACTTGTATCCCACGTGGGATGGAGCAGTATGGCATGAGGTCCGTTACACCCTCAGAATGTCACAATTGAAACAAAGTTTAAAAGCTATGAATCTTTTATTTCTAGATTTAAAAAAATTTTGACAGTATTTGTGACTGCCCATGAGTCAAATCATGAAAATAAAACCACAGATTAGCAGAAATTACAAAGGATAGATATGTTTACTCACCCAACTTTACACAAATATGTTCAAGAATTGGCCTAAGATCCTAGCACTATTAAGTTACAGAGCTACATACACTCAGAGCCAGTCTCATTCAGACCATTACTAGACTTCCGTACAAACCTTGACAGCAATCAGTCATATATGGAAAGTAGTGAGCAAGCAGGTAATAAGAAAGTAGAAAGAGATAAGTAGGCTAATTGTGTAAAAGCAAGCAAGAAGCGGGATCCCAGAACAGACCATATGCAGTGGGTAACACAAAGCCCGGCCTTCTAGGCAGTGGCCAGAAAGGAAGAGAATCTTCCATGAGAAGTCGCTAAGAAGACCCAAGACCAGGATGAGAACACAGAAGGGCAACACACCACAAACTTAAAGGTTCACAGAATGATGAGACTTCTTCTAACCACTCCTTTTTTCTCTGGCACAGAGAAGAGCAGAGAACTGGAGATAGTGTAACATGACAATACCCCGGTGTCCCTCTGGGTCCTCTCCTGATTCATCTTACCTTTACTGTCTCTATGGAGGTTTTCCAAAACTCCATCTTTCACTCACTTTGTCTTTTTCCCACCAGTGTAAAGAGCTGATTGGTTTTCGGAATACCTCTGAGCAATGCGTGCAGATGCAAATAAAAGGCCTCTAATCCCATTCTGTACCAGGAAATTGGCACAAGAAGCTTTATCACTTCTGCCCAAAGTAAAACTCGGCAGTAAGCCAGAGGTAGAACTGTGAGCCATACCTAAGAGCTCCTATTCCTTGCTCACAAATTTCCTGTTGTATTGAAAGAAAAAAATTGCCGTAGGTAAGTTTTGACTCTTCTCAACTGTTTTTGCTAAGTAAAATTTCTGCCCGTCCTTCCAGAAAGGTAGGAAGGTACAGTTGACTTGTCAATCACTGAATATAAACTTATACTGGGGGGATTCCTCTACCACTCTACACCCTGGCCAAGTCTGAAAGGGTTAAAAGCTCACTGCTGGGACAGAAGCAATCTCTCTGCCACTCCCCCTTCATGGAAGAAGAGCAGAGCTGGTATATAGTGATAGTTTCTGCCTCCTCATCCCAGTCCACTCAATTATACAACTTCTCATGATTTAGGAACAGTCCCTTTCTCCATGTCCCAACGGGAAGCGCCTTGAAAAACATCCCATTCATCTCAATAGGATTTTGCAAGCCAGAATAATAAGTATAAGCAAAATTGGACTTGGAGGTACGTCCAAAAGAAACTATCTAGTGTTGTTATATCACACGGGAGGCTTGGAATGGCCAAAATGAGTCCTATGAGGTCTAGAATCGAGGCTCCAGAAACACTAAGAAAATAAGTGCACTGGGGAAGTAGAAGAAGTACATGCAGACAGGAAAACTAGGGGAAAAAATAGGTTTCTGCTAAGTATAGATTCTTGTTCTTTCTTTGGATTTAATTTTAGCACCCTTGAGCAAGAACTTTTATGGAGCCTAAGGAACCATGAAAAGTCCCTCATCGAAGGAAAAGGAACCAAGAGATACTTCCACACTTAAAAGGAAAATTTCATCTCCTGACCCAGTAACTCTCTAGGCCACCCATTTATCCATCCTTTCGTTAAATGATTGCACACTTCATATATGACATATGTTATGCCAGTAGTCACTGGACTATTCAGCAACAAATAAGAGCTTCCTCCAAGGAGCTTGTAGTAGAGATGGAAAAAGAGATTCTAAAAACCTACAATGCTAAGGGCAAGGAGAGTGACCAGGTGCAAGGACAACAAGGAAGGGATGATGTTCAGGACAACAAGGAGTTTGCAAGGCCAAAGGAAGTACGAGAAGGCTGCTTCAGAGGGTAACAGCACAGAGAAGAAGTGAAGTGTTGGGTAGGTTAGACAAAGAGGTCAGAGAAGTGGAGAAAGACAATAATGGGGATATAAACCTGCCTTCCCTCTTAGTGGGACATTATTTTGTACCAGGGTAGAAAGAGCTGCCAGGAGATGGTGTGTCTGCTGCCTAGCAAACATTTTCTGTCAGTGCTGTAAGGCATCATGTGGATGCCAGTCGGGTGCCCCCTTGGTGCTGGGGAGAAGCCCCCACAGTTGCGCCTGCACAGAGGCTCGGCACAGCTATTTTGGGCTGGATAGGGTCCATAGTGATGATTGCCCGGCCTGGGCAGTTTACCCAGGGCTGCTTTTTAACATTCTGTTTTCCTTGTCATTTAGCTCTCTACCATACAATTACTCAAATAATGAAGAAAAAAAAAAAAAAAAAAAGGAAGGAGTACACGACTACATCTTATTTTTAGTTCTCAAATCAATGATGGCAACCTCCTCCGCATTTCAATAGAAGCTTTGCATATCAAAATCTTCCCAAATAAAGCATAGTAAACACATTAAAATCCATAATGACATATTTCTGTGCTGTTTCAAAATATGTTTGTTTGTTTTGAAATACCAAAATGGCTCAGTCCAAATTGAAGAATAATGCATTGACAGATGGGCAAAAATAAAGTATAAATGAAATGAGCATCTTCAGAAATGTATATCTTATCTTCTTGTTCTCTAGGTCAAAGAATGTCTAGAAAATAACAGCTATATATTGTAACTGTGCATTCTCTTTTTAAAGAATCAAAGCACTTTTCAGAGACCACCATGGAAAGGATTCTGTGGGGTTAGGGCATCTCAGAAGTTTCTGTATCTTTTCTTCTATGTTTGAGAATTATCTAAGAAATAAATTTCTATTTGATTTGAAAACTGGAGACAGGGAAAAGATTAGGGACAGCTGACTAATAAATGCCACAAACCTAGAAGCTAGACAGAGTCCAGTTCAATACTAACAATGGCAACCCCTGATGATAGGAACTTTACACCCAATATTGTAATTTTACTTTCATGACAACTCTAAAAGAAGGTGTTCTTACCCTAGTTTTACCCTAAAAAATACTGAAATTCAAAGTGACATAACTAATAAGGGAAGAATAAAATAAGAACCTTCAAGGGCTAGTCTTACTTGTTTGTTTTTAAGAAAGTGTCCTGTTTTGTCTGTAACAAGGGAGAAAAGACTCTTGCTCATTTAAGCTATCACCTCTCTTCTACATTCACGTAGAAGTGTTCTGACCTACATATATAAATTTGAAAATATATTTCATATCACTTTATTTTCATAGAATCTCCCCTACCACTTCCACATGAATGCTTCCTTTAATCATCTAAATTTATAAAATGTAAATAGTGATTTGATAGAATCTATAAAAATTGTGCAGATCTTTTTTCATTTAATCATTAGTTTATAAAACATGTATTTTCTTTTACCCTGAATCCATCTATTTTCTTCTGCCATTCATTCCTTTTTTGCCATCTCTGTAATGAAGGACTCAAGACATACAGAAGGAGTAGCCATACCCATGCGACAAACCCCGTTAGAGCAAGGAACTACGTATGGTACTACACGAAAGAGGGAAAAGAATGTTCTAGCCCTACCATTAGCTGCTTAAAAATTCCAAAAGGAGATGATAGATCATTTATATCTAAAAATATTAGTTGGAATATTTTATTCAATAGGCAGTTTTCAAGGGAGGAGGAGAGGTTGGGTGCACTGTTGATTTCCATTTGAGAATTTTCAGGAATCCAGCTATTGTGTTGAAAAGAACCACAACAAAAAAGCATCTCATCTTCACCAAATTATTGACTATGTGCTTATGTTAATATTAACTTAATAGTAATTGTCTGATTGGTAATAAGAGCATAATGAAACCAAATGACATCAACAAAGAAACAATGAAAAATTCAATTCATAGAATGTATGCGAAGAGTTCATGAAACTGTCTTATTCTCTCAGCTTCCTCAGAAAGTAGACGTGACCTTCATAAAGAGTCAGTCTGCACATACAATTATAATTTTCCTGGGTCCTTTTTGTTTGCTTTCAGCCTAAAATCCCTAGCCTAGGATCATTCCCCCACAAATTCTACAACACAGT